CCCCCCTGTGTTTCTTCAAGAATTATTGTGAAATCCTGCTGGGGGAAGTGGTGGCCAAGCACCACCACTCCTTCTTGAGGGCGCTTGTTGCCCAGGTTGCTAAAGACCTCGCGGGGCCCAACCAAATGGGGGGTTCACCTGGGAGAGGCACCGACTTGGCCTCTCTGGCCACCAGGACGGCCCTCGAACTCCTGAAGGCCCAAGGGAAAACTGCCATCCTTATGTTTTCGGATCTCAAGGACGCGTTTTATAGGGTCCTTAGGCAATTTGTTGTGGACAGCGATCCTCTAGACGAGGACGAAGTGGTTGACAGGCTTCAGATCCCGCTCGCGCTAGTCCCATCTTTTCAAGCTCTGCTCAGGCAACCGGCCCTCCTTACCAACAAGGCTCACCCTCAGCTCGCCCGCGTGGTGTCCGAGGCAGCGGTTTGGAGTCAAGCTTGCCACGAGCTTAGCGCTCCCCGAGACAGGCACGCGAGCTGGCATGCCGCTCGGGGACATTCTGTTTATCGCCGCGTTCGCCCCTGCTCGCGCTAAGGTGCACCAGCGGCTTAAGCGGAAAGGTTTGCTCGTCCCAGTGCAGCGCGTGCTAGATGAAGCTTCAGTTCTCTGTGAGCAGTCTTTTTCTAGGGACGAGTACGGGGCCCCTGGCAGTGAAGATCTCCAGGGAGCTGCTTTCATGGATGATCTCCTCACCCTGGCCCCCCCACCCACCCCCGAGTGGAAGCCCGCGGCCCAACAGATGGCCAAGATCGTGCACGAAGAACTCATCAGAGTGGGGTTCACCCCCAACTACGACAAAGGAAAAACGGAGTTAATGGTGGTTTTCTCGGGAGAAGGGCCCACCGCGGCCCGCGTCGAGCACGAAGAACAGGGCACGCTCCAAGTCGGAGCGCATGGTATTGAGCTTCACAAGGCTGAATGCTACAAGTACCTGGGGTCCATGCTCCACCGCGGGGGGTCGTGGGGCCCTGAGGTCCACCTCCGAGGGCACGACCAGGCTGTGGCCCTTGGACCTCTAAGGAGGACTGTCTTTGGTCTGAGGGACCTCCCAAAGCAGACTAAGATCAAGTCCGCCGTCGCCCTGTGCTGCTCGCGGTGTTTGTACCAGGCTGCGCTATGGACGCTGCCAGTCAAGACTCTCGCCCGTGCGGAAAGAAAATATCTTGACGCTTACAGAGCTGCGCTCAAACCCGACCTCCCGAGGCCACCTGAGCCCAAAGCGTCCCGTGAAGAGGTCCTTGTGAGGGCCCAACGACCTTCCCTGTCTCTCGTGCTTCGCCTCAGGAGGCTCAGGTTTCTCCCCAGGGTCCTCCGAAACGGCGCTAAGGCCGTGCTTGGCATGTTGGACTTGCTCTCGTCTAGGGAAGGCACGTGGGCCTCCCTTTTGTCCCAGGACTTGGATTGGCTCCCCCACCGTGTCTCGCTGCCTCTCTCCCTCTCCCCTCCTGGTGACAGAAATTGGTGGATCGACCTCGCTTTCCGAGAGCCTAAGACGTGGAAGGGGTTGTTGAAAAAAGGTCGAGGTCGGGGCTACGAGGGTTGAGCTCGACTCTGCCCGTTTGACGCTGTGTCGTAGGGATATCAGGGCTCTGTGCGCGGCGACCCAGGCCCCCCCTCCCCCCACTTGCGGACGCGACGATCCCGACGTGATTTACCTGTGTCCTGAATGTAATGCCACGTTTATTATTCCCCATGCCTGGGCCACACATAGGGCGAAGCATCACCCACAAGTTGACCTGGCCAGGACTGTTGCATTAGGGAGCGTGTGCCAGTCCTGCAATACGGAGTTTTTCACGAATTTAAGGTTGCTTAAGCACCTGAGACATGGGTCCAAGGTGTGCGTTGCCCAATATTGTCCTGGCCCTCAGGCCCCTCACCCAGGAGCAAATTCAGCAGCAGCGTGACCTCAACGTGGAGTGTGCTACTGAGCTTGCCTCCAGGGGGTTGTACGCCGAGCAGGCGGAGAAAAAAACCTTTAGGTGTATCGGGCCTGGCCTCAAGGGTGCTTGCAGTGAGAAATGCCAAATCTGCCCCCAGTGGCGAGAGTGGCAGCGGACTCCCGAGCTGCAGAGCCGCCACCGCCAAGCCACATTCCCGTCCCGCCGCCGATTGGGCAGCACTTCTACAGCATACTGATTGGAGTTGGTCCAAGAAGGCCAAGCGACTTGCAAGCAGCTGTAGATCGGAGCGCTGAAGAAGAAGGTCTCAGGATAATCGTGCTCAATCTAGCTGCCGAACAGGACAGCACCATGGAGAGACCAGAGGTGACGACCCTGGTCGAGTTGATTCTTTCTGGTCGAGTATGGGCTGTCATCTCAGGGCCGCCGTGCGAAACCTTCAGTAGGGCACGCTGCAGGCCACCTTTGCACAAGAAGCTTTTTTCCCGGAGTCGTCAGATCTCCTGAATGGCCTTGGGGGATGCCCAACAGGTCGGCTCCTGAGTGGGACCAGATTGCCTTGGACAACGAAGTTTTGAGAACGACGGTTCGATGTGCTGTTGCGCGTGCGGCTGTAGGCGCCAGGTTTCCCTTTCTCTTTCCTGAGGATCCCAGAGAAGCCCATGTAGCCTCATGCATGGGCCTACCAGAGGTCAAGTACGCGTGCACCCTCCGAGGGGCCGACTCTTTTTCCTTCGATATGTGCTTTTTTGGTGCTGACACTGTTTTGCCCACCACGGCAATAGTTATGAATTGTCCAGGCATGGGGGAAGGTTTAAGGCATCGTAGGTGTTACCACGGGGCCCACGTGGTCCCAGAGGGGCCCAGGGACTTCCTTCCGCCCGCAGGCCTCTTTCGCACCGTCGCCCAGGCAGTGCTGGGCCAACTGCAGCCCGCTGGGGCGGGACCAGCGAACACGTTCCGCTACGTGGAGGCCAGCGCCTCTCATCTTCTCTCCTTGTACGCCCCCCCCGACCCGTACGCAGAGGCGTGGGCTGGGGATTTCGCCCACACAGGGGTGGCGGGAGCGACGGAGTAGTGGGGTGGCGCCCTCCTCCCCTCTCCCTTCCTCCCGTCAGGGTCGTGGTCGTCGTTCCCTCTCTTTCTCTCGGCGGCCCGTTCTCCGTGTCTCACCGTTGCATGTCGTCCACCGCGGATCATCCTCATCGGGAGTATGAACAGAAACAGGAGGAGCAGGAGGAGAAGTAGGAGGAGGAGGAGGAGGAGGAGGAGGAGGAGGAGGAGGAGGAGGAGGAGGAGGAGGAGGAGGAGGAGGAGGAGGAGGAGGAGGAGGAGGGGGAGGTGGCCCCAGGAGGCCAGGGAGGGCCCGACGGATGGCCCTGGGAGGCCAGGGAGGGCCCGACGGGAGCCCAGGAGGCCCCAATGAAGGCCCGTTGTTGGCTGTACAAAAAGGGCCCAGGCGCAGCCCAAGGGGAGGCGAGCTGTTCGGCGACGCGCTCGTCGAGGCCATTGGCAGGTTCAGATGCTCGTCGCACTTCGATCCCCTCTCCTCGCTCCGCGTTCCAATAAGCTCGCCCACTGCTCACTGCTCACCGCGCCCCTTTTTCTGGATCCTTGCTCACTTCCATTCACTCCGCCTCGTTCCCTTCTCCTGGCCCCATGGCACCTTCCGCACCGGCAGGGCCTCTCGCGGCTTCGGGTTGGCCCCACGCGCTTCGAAGACGGCCGCCGCAGGTCTTACGACGGCCGCAGACAGCACGCGGCAGCAGGCAACAGTGTGTTGACGAGCAAGCAACGAAGCAACCGATGAGGAATTCAGGCGATCGGGCCACGAGTTGCAGGCTACCTGGCAGACAACTCCGCCAGCAGGACTGCAGACAGGAAATCAAACATTCAAGCGATCCTCACTATTGCATTCGAGTAAGCTTTCGCGACTCGCGGGGGAAGTATAGTCAGATCAGCCCGATTGCCGTGGACGAAGTGCACGGATCAGCGCTCTAGTCATCTATCTTACAATGCCAGCAGCGCGTGGAAGGTGCAAATCGTGGCAAAGCCGGGGGGGGCGCTGGGAGGGCCCGCCAGGAGGGCTTGCGCCTCGATCCCAGACAACCCAAGCGAGTCCAAGAGGCCTCCAAGGTGACCGGAGATGCCTCCGATACGGCCGACGATGGCCTCAAGATGGCCCAAGATAGCGTCCAGACGGCCTTAGAGGGCCCCTAAGACAGCCCAAGACGGCCTCCAGACGGCAGAAAAGCCTTCCAAGAGGCCGCCAGAGCGCCCCAAGAGCACTCCCAGCAGGGCCTCCCCGTGCAACAAAAACAAGTTTCGGATAGATTTCTGTTATATTTTCAGCATGCACGACTTTTGGGTCCTTGCAGCGTCCACGACGGCTCAACAGCCCCCTAGATCGCCCCAAGCTGGCCCTTAGAGGCCTCCAAAGAAAATCCCAAGGCGGCTCGAGAGAACCCCAAGACGGCCCAAGATCACAAGAGAGCCCCAATACAGCCCGAGAGACGCCCAAGACGACCCAAGATGATCCAGAGATGGCCCACTGAGCCCTAGGTGCATCCCAAGACGGCCCCAAAGCACTCCTAGAGAGCCTGAAGAGGCCCCCCAACAGATGCTACAATGCGCCCCACTGTTGCAGTATCGGTCGGGTGCACTCCCGGTGCAGAAATCGACGGCGTTCTTCAGGTTGCAAAGGATATGTTTGGCATATGCGTCTTTGGGGCGCGCGCAGCTTCTCATGCGCGGCCATGGCCTCACCCGCCTCGTCCTTAAGGGGCCCGGGCGCATGCCCGCACAGGCGTTCCGTTCCGTTCCGTTCCGTTCCGTCTTTGGGGCCCTTGAAGCGTCCACGACGGCCCAACAGCCCCCAAGATCGCCCCAAGCCAGCCCAAGAAGCCACCCGAGAGAATTATGCAGCTCGAGACGGCCCCAACACGGCCCAAGACACCTACTAGAGCCCCAGGTGCATCCCAAGACGGCCCCAAGAGCGCTCCCGGCGAGCCAGAAGAGGCCCCCCAGCGGGTGCTACAACGCAGAGCAGATTCAACGGGCTCTAGCGTTGCTGAGCGAGGTGTGGGAAGCGAAGCTGGAGCCCGACGTCATTTATATTTCAATGCGGCCAGCGCGTGTGAGACGGCCGAGCGGTGGCAGCGGGCTCTTCGCTGCTCAACGAGATGCGGGAGGCGAAGCTGCAGCCCAGCGCTATCTATATTGCAATGCTCGAGTCAGTGCGCGCGAGATTGCGCTGCCGCAGCTTGGCCCGGGGCGGCTCCCGGCGCTCGTGGGGCGGTCTTGGAAGGCACCAGGGGACCCGAAGAGAGCCTCCAAGTGCTCCCAGACGGCCCGAGGACACGCCAGGAGGCCTCTCACGACGGCCCAGGAGGACCCCGATGCGAGGCCAAAGTCGCATGTTCGCTCTGAGGTTTTGCAGGATTTTCAGGTTCTCCCCCCTTTCGCTTCAAGCACGGCTCCTGACGGCCCAAAGCGCCTCCTACATCGCGCCAACACTGCCCAAGAGACTTCCAGGAGAGGCCTTCGAGTTCCCCAAAGGCTCCCCTGATGGCCTCAGAGCGCCCGAAGACGGTCCAAAGGAGCCCCAAGTTCCCTCCAAGGAGGCAACAGTAGAGTCCCCACAGAGCCCTTCAAAGACCCAAGGACGCCCCAGGACGGCCCCCACCAGAGGCTTGTGGGGCCAGCCCGAGAACGGCCCCAGAGGCTCCCAAAATACCGCAAGAGGCCTCCAAGACGTCCCAGACAGTCTCGCAGAAGGACCCAACATGCTCCCGACAGGGCCCCAGAGATACCCAAAGTGTTCAACTTCGACGAGCTGTTCACCCAGGGTGTGCGAGCCCCAGGTTCAGCACACCTTGTGGTTAATCCACGGGTTCGCGCTAGTCTCTACTACATTGCAGGGCCCAGTGCGTGCCAGAATGGCGCAGGCCCCAATGCACCGAAACCGCCCCGGGCTGGCCCCGGGCCGCCCCGGGCCGCCCAGGCAGGCTCCAGGACATGTCGAGAGGGCCCCCAGAAGCCCCCAAGACGGCCCCGGAGAGCCCCGGCACGCTTAAAGATGGGCCCAAGACGCCCGAGATTCGCCCCAGACGGCCCAAGAGGCGTCCAAGACGCCCGAAGAGGCCTCCCAAGAGGCCTCCCAAGAGGGCCCCGAGCGACAGAAATCGTCGATTTCTATTGTGTTTTTCGATGTTTTCGGCCTCCTCGCCTCTTCGGCTTCCCGACGCTCCAAGACGGCCCAAGAAGTCCCCCCGACCGCTCCAAGACGGCCGAAGAGGACCCCAAGAGAGCCCCAAGACGGGCCAGGAGGGCCCCAAGACGGTCCCAAGACGCCCCAGGACGGCCCCAGGACGGCCCAGGAGGCGCCCAAGACGGCCCAAGAGGCACCCAAGACGGCCCCAGGAGCGGCCCAAGACGGCCCAAGACAGCCCAAGAGGCGCCGAGGCGGGCCTCAGACGGCCCCAAGGCGGCCCAAGAGGCACCCAAGACGGCCCGAGAAGGCCCTAAGAGCCCCCCCGGGAGGCCCAAAAGAAGGCCGAAGAGGCTCCGAAACGGCCCCCACGAAGCCTTCAGTGGCTTCAGAATTCCCTCCAGGAGCGGGGGAGCGGACGAGAGGCGACAGGCATATCGCAGGCAAAAGCGCCCCAAGAGATCCCCAAACGGCCCCCACGAAGCCCTGTGTGGCCTCAGAATTGCTTCCAAGAGGGGGGGAGCGGACGAGAGGCGACCGGCATATCGAAGGCATCATGAGTGCCTTTCGGCCCTGCAGCCGCACACCCCCGCGCTTGCCCAGAGACCCCTCGCCACGTCGAGCTGATTTCGTGGACGGAGTCCACAGGTCTGCCCTAGTCAGCTACAGCGCTGGCATCAGTGCGTGCCAGAATGGCGTGCAGTGGCACCAGGCTTTCGCGTTGCTGAGCGGTGTGTGCGAGGCGAAGCCGGCGTTCAACAGCGTCTCGCACGCTTCGTGGACAAACGCGAGCGAGACAGGGTGGCAGTGTCAGCGGGCAGTGTGGCTACACGGCGTGATGAGGGAGGCGAACGTGGATCAGGAGGCATCCAGCTTCAGCCCTGCGAAGGTTGCTCTTCTGCGTCGTGACGATACCGCAGGCTATTCCGCTGCAGCGCTGGGACCAGGCGAGAAAGGTGGACATTGGCAACAGGCCCTGTGGCTGGTCGGCGAGATCTTGGGCGCACAATTGTGACCCTGGCGTCGTCAGAGTTATGATGCTGGGCTCAACGCCTGCGAGAAACCCGAGGAGTGGCAGCCGACTCCGGCGCTGCTCGGTGAGGTGTGGGCGGCGCAACCGAAGCCGAGCGCCATCGCCAGTGACGGTGCCGTCGCCCACGCGCGCGAGAGGGACGGGCAGAGGTCGGAAGCGCTGTCGCTCCTCGAGGGGGCCTGGCGACCAATCGAAGCGCACAATCGCGGGGCGGAGGAGGAGGAGGAGGAGGAGGAGGAGGAGGAGGAGGAGGAGGAGGCAGGAGGAGGAGGCAGGAGGAGGAGGCAGGAGGAGGAGGAGGCAGAAGGAGCAGGCAGAAGGAGGAGGAGGAGGAGGCAGGAGGAGGAGGAGGCAGAAGGAGGAGGCAGAAGGAGGAGGAGGAGGAGGAGGCACGATCGCGGGGCGCGCGCCGACTGGCAGCGCCGTCGCTGGCCGGGGGCCGCACATCGACGCGGAGCGCGGTGGTCGGGCGCGGGCGCGCTCGCGGAGGCGCCCCGCGGCGCGGGGGCTGCTGGCGCCCTGCGGTCGCGGGCCGCGGCGCGCCGCGGGCGGGCGGTTTTGCGCGGAGGCGCCCTTTCCCAGGAAGCGATGGGAAGATCTGGGAAGTGGGGGGGAAGACAAAAACCCTGAAAATATATAACAATATGGGGAATCCTTTTAATTGTGTGTGTTTATTTGTGTGTGTCCTTGGGCCCCTTCACCCTCGAGTCTCCTGGCGTCCCGCCTGTTCCTCAAGCAGTGGCGAAGCGTCCTGGCGTGCCTATAGGCCTACCAAGCAATGTTACAAGAACCTTTTTGTGGTCTCCACGAGATGTGCTCAGAGCATGTCTGGCTGGGACTGTCTTGTTTCAACACAGCGGGTTTATGTTCTGAGAACCTTGTTTTTGTTCTTAGAACTTCTTGGGGTTCTTAAGAACATGTCGTGGTAGGCCCACGCGACTCAGCCAGCGGGCATGGGCAGGTTAGCGGGTTGCACTATCCGGCCAGCGCGCTTGCACTCCGGCCACCTCCTTCCCCCCGCCCCTCCTCCTGCCTCCTCCTCCTGCCTCCTCCTCCTGCCTCCTCCTGCGCTACTCCTTGGGAGGCTGCGATTTGTGAAACTGTCGCCACTTTGATGAGCTCCTGGGAGGCATGGCGGAACAGGGAAGTAAACAGACCCAGTCGAGACCTCGCAGCTCCCTGGGGGGCTGCGATGTGTGCAGTTGTCGCTACTTTCGTGGGCTCCTGGGAGGCACGGCGGAGTAGGGGAGTAAACGGACCCAGACTAGACCTCGCAGTTCCAAGGGTGGCTGCAAATTGTGTAATCGTCGCCACTTTCGTGGGCTCCTGGGAGGCACGGCGGAGTCGGGGAGTAAACGGACCCAGACTAGACATCGCTGCTCCCTGGGGGAGCGTACGCAAATGTCGCTTTCGTGGGCTCCTGGGAGGCACGGCGGAGTCAGGAAGTAAACGGATCCAGTCGAGACCTCGCAATTCCTTGGGCTTCTGCGAACTATGCAAATGTCGCTACTTTCGTGATCTCCTGGGAGGCATGGTGGAGAAGGGGTGTAAACGGACCCAGCCGAGATCTCGCAGATCCCTGGTAGGCTGCGATTTGCCGATCGTCGCCACTTTCGTGGCCTTCTGGGAGGCACGGTGGAGTAGGGGAGTAAACGGACCCAGACTAGTCCTCGCAGCCCCTGGGGGCTGCAAATGGTACAATTGTAGCCCCTTTCGTGGGCTCCTGGGGGGCACGGCGGAGTCGGGAAGTAAACGGTCCCAGACTAGACCTCGCTGCTCACTGGGGGGCTGCGAACTGCGCAACTGTCGCCACTTTCCTGAGCTCCTGGGGTGCACGGCGGAGTCGGGAAGTAAACGGACCCAGACTAGACCTCGCAATTCCCTGGGAGGCTGCGATTTGCGCAATTCTCGCCACTTTCGTGTGCTCCTGGGAGGAGGGCACGGCGAAGGAGGTGAGTTCGCGTACCCAGCCGAGACTTCGCAGTCGGGGAGCACGCGCACCCAGAGGAGAATTCGCAGCTCCTTGGGGGGCTTCGAACTGCGCAATTGCAGCAGGTGTTGTGTGGGCTCGTGGGAGGCACGGCGGCGCAGCGGAGTGCGCGGCCCTCGCAGCTCCTTGGGGGGAGCTGCACAGTGCGCAACTGTCGCCACTTTCGTGGGCTCCAGGGAGGCACAGCGGAGTAGCGGAGCACCCGAGACCTCGCAGCCCCTTGGGGGGGCTGCGCACTGCGCAACTGTCGCCACTCATGGGGGCTCCAGGGAGGTACGGCGGAGTAGGGGAGCACTCGAGACCTCGCAGCTCCATGGGTGGCTTCGAATTGCGCGATTGTCGCCAGTCTCGTGGGCTCCTGGAAGGCACGGCGGAGTAGCAGAGTGCACCCGAGACCTCGCAGCAGCCTCGGGGGCCTGCGAACTTCGCAACCGTCGCCACTCTCGTGGGCTCCCGGGAGGCACGCCGTGTACGCGCATGCAGCCGAGACCTCGCAGATCCCGTGGTGGCTGCGAGCGGCGCAACTACCGCCACTTGCCCGGGCTCCCGGGAGGCACACGGGGGAGCGGAGGGGCACGCAGACCGAGGCGAGGCCTCGCGGCTCCCTGGGCGGCTGCGATCTGCGCAGCTCTCGCCCTGTTCGGTTTTCGGGTGCCTCCGAAGCGGGGGAGCACGCAGACCGAGCCAAGGCTTCGCGGTTCCCTGGTGGGCTGCGCGGTGAGCAGACGTGACGTTGCCATTGTCGTGGGCTCCTGGGAGGTTCAGCTGAGCAGAGAGTCATTGCAATGCTTTTTTTGTATGAGGCGCTCCGTTCCCTCAACTAGTCGCCTCGCATTGAGAAGGGGTTGGGCACGTCTCGGTTCTGTTTCTTGTTTGGGGGAGCAGCTCCGACGTGTCAAGGGATCTCTTCCAAGCAAGCGTTAACGAACAGCGCCCCTTCATACGCTCGTACATGCGCGCGCACACGAAAGGCCTGGTGGCGTTGCCTCCGACCCGAGGACATATCCTTCAGGTTGGGCCAACCGTGGGTGGCCAGTACTCCCCTGCTTTGCGCTGTGGGCCTACCCACGCGGTTTGTGTGTGTATCGACAGTGTTGGGTCACCGACTGACCGCCGTTTGCACCCACCATAATGCTGATTGATCGTTGCCCTCGTCGTCTGCTGAGGGTAGCCCACGCGGGCCGATTGGGCGTAAGGCGACACGGCTTCTGAATAACAAAGCCATGCGCCCGCCCCATCGATGTTCAGGATATCGCCAGCAGAGCATCATCGTTCGCGGACACAACATGTGTAAGACATGTTCCACACCACGTCTGGCCTACCAGGGTACCGTCAGCGACGTCTTTGCCACACCACTGCAAGTTCTCACAAAACATCAGCAATCAGCACGTTGAATAATACCGTGGACAGCGGACCTCACTGTCGGAATTCCCCTTGCACATCGAAAGGCCTACTCTCGACCCCCGTTCCCAAGTTGACGTAAGCCGTCTTACATCTGTGCAGGTTTCTCAGCACTCCTACCACGCTTGCGCCCAACCCAGCTCCCGCCGTCGCCTAAAGCACATGGTCGCGAGATCCCCTATCGAACGCCTTCTCGACGTTAAGCGCGACTATCCACAGTTCCCCCCCGGGGGGGAGGACAATTTTTGAGGCGCCGGAAAGAACTTTCCGACTCCGCAGTCGGCCAGTCGGGGAGTCGGCCAGTCGGCCAGTCAGAGTCGGCCAGGGACGGGGGGGAGTCGGATAGTTAATCCCGGTGCCCCAGAATTTTTTTCCAAGTGCCCAGAAATGCACACTCACGCATTTCTCTTACCCATCGGTGGCGCGTCGGCCTTCTCATTACATGTGGCCCTCGGGCCACGGGTCTGGTCACGAAGCCCGCGACGATGGCAAGCTGCTGGAGCAGATGCCTCTGGATCAAGAGCCAGCCTGATCTGCTAAGCGGGCATTCCAAAAAGGGCCTTGCCTTCGAGTATCGAAGGAGATGTCATCTCTTCGCTGGCGGAAGGCGGCGGAATGTCGGCGGAAGTAAAACGAAGCCGCCTCAGCCGGCGGTAGCCGCCGGAGGCTGGCGGAAGCTCGGCGGAAGGCGGTGGAAGTAAAATGTATGCCCCCTAGAGATGAATACGTTTTTGGGTTCAGGGTTTTTTTTTATCGGAATCGCCCAAGTGGGCCATGATCGCTCCCCTGGGTCTGCCCAAGATCGCGATGGGTGGCGGGATGCGCACTGGGGGGCCGAGGAGCGCGTACGAGTTCCTCGACCGCAAGGGCAAGAGGCTGCAGACGGAGAAGGAGTCGGCGCGTCCCTCGGAGGCGGGCCAGTCGAGACAACGGCGGCCCTCCGGGCAGCTTTCAGGAGGAGAAGAAACGCACAGAGACAACTCATCGGCGATTCCCCAGAAAATATGGGAGAATATGGGCAGCGGAGGGGGGAGACAAAAACCCAGAAAATATAGCTGATTATCTTTGGATGCAGTTTTCCTCCACGTCGAGCGGCCAAGCGAGAGGGGCTCCACCCCTTCCTTCTTTCTCCTCTGCTTGTCGCCCCTGCTGCTGCTCTCCCCTCTCGCGGCCATTCTGGTTTCAAGGCTTGCAAAGGCCTGCGCCGCTTCGCATGCCCGTTCCCCTCGCGGCTCTCGGGCAGTGGGGCGCGGCACTGGTTTCAGTCTGGGCCAGCCGGTGCCCTGCCTGCCCGGCCTGCCCTCCCTGCGGATCGGTCGACGTCACCTGCGGCAATTGCCCGCCGGCGCCCGCCGTGGCTTGCCCGGCTGCGCCGGACGTGCGGCCCTGCCCCGAGCTGTCCTGCCCGATCCCCGTCCCGGCGTCGCTGGGCTGGGTCTCGTGGCTGGTGCTGGGCTGGGTCCTGGGCGTGCTGTGCGCCTTGGCGGCGCTGGCTGCCTGCGCCCCCGTCGCGGCCATCTTGCACGGGTTCACCTCGCGGGCGCCGGCTCGTCCGCCAGGCGACGGCGCTGCCGCTCCTGCCTCCTAGCCTAGGGCCATCCGTGGCTGATGGCTCGCGCGGGGGCCGAGACCCTCGACATCTCCGAGAGCCAGGTGTGCATCGCGTTCGACGACGACCCGAACTTCAGATGGCACCACAGGGTCTTATTGGTTCCCTCGCCTACGCCGGGGCACTGGGTGGCCGCCACGCCCGACGCCGAGATCTATCTCCTGAAGCTGGACGAATACCTAGTGGTCGCCCTTCCTCGGGCGGCCGCCTTCCCCCAGCGAGTCCGAGGCCAGGTCTACGCGTTCGGAGCCCTCTCGGACGCCGACCTCTCCAACCTCCGCCGCGATGGCCGCAACTTCGCGAAGGTGCCGGGCTTCCCACTCCCCGCGGTGCAAGCGGGGGTCGACGTCCCGAGGTGGATCGTCCCCGACCCTGCGAGCGACCACTTCGGGGAGGAGGTGAGCCTGGAGCTGATCACCTCGGCGGAGCGCTTCATCAGCCGCGACGCCGTCGCGCTCGTGATGCTGTCGGAGGCCGAGGGCTGGGTCGCCGCCGAGAACGTCCAGCTCGCCGACGAGCCCGACTGGAAGGCGGAGAAGAGGGCTGGTCCTGGCAGGGACCGCCGGGTGCTGCCGCAGACGGGCGTCTCTGCGCACACCGTCTCTCTGGCGCAGCTGGTGGCCCTGCTGAAGAGCGTGGAGGTCGACGACTGGCCCTTCGAGGGCCCCAAGGCCCTGGTCGAGTTTCTGGCGGCCGTGGTCTCTTCTGGGCACTCGCTCTCGTCCTACTGGGGCTTTTGGGTGGCCCAGTCGGGCGTCGCGCGTGGCAGTGCGGTGGCCCAGGAGCTGAAGAACATCGTCGAGGTCCTGCACCATGCCCTGGTCTTCGACGCGCTGGACGTCTCGAATCTCGCCTCGTTCGAGCTCCTGAGCCGCCGGGGCCTCCAGATTCAGAGGGCAGTCAAGCGTTGTCCTCGCCGCCCTTCCTTCGAGGGCCTGGAGCTGATGGTTTCGAGTCGACTCGACGACTCGGGCGGGGCGGTCACGACCAAGTTCGATGCCTGGGTCGCCGACCAGCAGAAGGCGAGGAGCACCGTTCTCAAGCAGGAGAGGATGTACAGGGAGGAGGCCGACCACGAGGACAAGAAGCACCGCACCGAGCAGAGGGACGAGGCAAGGCCCCCGCGCCCCAAGGCCAAGCCGAAGGGCAAGGCCAGGGCTGGGCCTGGCGGTGCAGGTTAGCGAGCCGGGGGCCTCCGCGCCCCCCCCGGCCGTGGCGGCCTCCGCCGCGGCCGACGGCACACCGCGTCGCCATGGCCTCCTCCCTGGACCGCGGCTGCCCCCCCGTCGAGGGTTCCTCCTCGCGGGGGCCCCCACCTTTGTTCCCGCTTCCGGTCACGGACGCCTTCTACTCGCATCCACCGCGAGGGGAACGTACCGCTTTTCCTCGGTATAAGGCACAGCGTGCTGCCGCTGCTGATCGTCGTTCGGCCTGTGCCATCGAGACGATCACGACCCTCAATGGGATGGCCGCCGCCTGTGCTGGGAGGGACGTCGTGCTTCGGCCCCCCCAGAGGACTGGGGGCGCCGACATCGCTCAAGAGTCGGCGCTCAGACGCATCCGCCGTCGGATTGGGGCCTTTGGAGATCGGCCCACTGACATGGATGGCGCTGGGGCCCTACAGGAGCTCCTCAAGACCAGGGACGTCTACGGCGGCCTCGACGCGTCCACGACCGTGGTCGATTTTGATCCGAGCCGCCTCAACATCCCACGTAAGGAACATCATTTTTCAACGCCACTCGACGACGTGGCCCCCCAGAGCGTCAGGGATGTGATGGCCAACTTCGACTCTGCCGTCGTCCGCCCGCTCTCCGAGCTCACCGAGGACGAGCCGTTGGTACAACCCTACTGGGACCCGCAGCTCGACCCTCGCCGGCGCGGCGCGCGCCCTGCGCTCGTGGCCTTTCTTCGTGCTCTGGCCCTACGGGGGCTCGTTTGTGCTCGGGCCCGTCGGAAGTCGTGCATCTCCGCGTTCTCCGTGCGAAAGAAGAACGGGGATCAGAGGATGGTGCTGGACGCTCTGCAGGCTAATCAACTGCAGCGACTCCCGCCCAAGACCGCGCTGGCCTCAGGCGAGGCACTCGCGGCCATCAACCTCGTGGACGCCACCGACCTTGGCCCCGACGACCTGGACATCGTGATCAACGGGGGCGACCTGGTGGCCGGCTCGGTGGACCTGCAGGATGGCTTCTACCAGTTCCGCCATCCGGCCTGGGGCTCCTGGATGCGCTTCGACATCGAGGTGTCTGCCGGCGAGCTGGGGTGACTCAGCTGTACGACGAGGACCTCGGCCGCTACATCGACATCAGCCCAGACTCTCGGGTCTGGCCCTGCTTCGAAGCCCTTCCCATGGGATGGTCCTGGGCCTTGTGGATCTGCCAGGAGGTCCTGATCGACACCATGAGCGCCGTCTTCGGGGACAAGGACTCCTGGTGCCTGGACAAGGGCAAGCCGCCCTCCCTGCTGAACGGGGGGGTCGCCCACGCGCCCTACGTCGACAACGCGAACCTCATCTCCCTGGACGCCGCCCAGCTCGACCAGCGCCTCGGCGCCGTGACGGACGAGCTGGACAAGAGGGGGCTGCGCTGGCACGAGTTACAGCGTGCCACCTTGTCTCAGGGTATCCTCGGTCTCGAGTTCGACGTGCGGCACGGGCGCCTTCGCCGCGCCTCTCGGCGAGCCTGGCGCCTGTACCTTGGTCTACACGAGGTTCTACGCAGGCCGTGGCTGGCTCGCTGGCAGGTCAGGAGGTTGTTGGGACACATCGCGCACGACTTCAGCATCATGCGACCTGCCCTCAGTGTCCTGGGCGAGTGCTACGCCTACCTCGAGTCTGGCCCGATGGAGGGCGTCTCGCGTTTGCCGCCCAGCGTGGTGACGGAGCTTCGCTGCGCCGCTGGCCTCGTGTTTCTTGGCCAGGTGGACCTGCGCCGACCCCCTTCGCCGGTGTCTTTTACCACGGACAGCTCAATGCTGGGCTACGCCGTCTGCGAGGCCGAGCTCTTGGGGCACGAGGTCCTTGGCGTGTCGCGGTGGCGCGAGAGGCAACGCTTCAAGGAGGTCGAGGTCTCGGGCGACCCCGACAGGGACGCCTACCTGGGCCGCGCTGCAGGACTGGACGACGTCTCCGACCTGCACTACGACGAGCTCGGCGATGCAGGCGCGGGCCGGCCCCGCCGACAGGCGCGGGCCCGCCGCCGTCGTCAGGAGATGGAGGTGGGCCACCCCCCGCCCCCGCTGCCGCCCGAGCTGGTCGACCCGCAGCGGTGGGCCGAGGCTTTCCGCGGCGCCTGGCGCCATCCAGATCGCATCCACAGCCTGGAGGCGCGGGCCTCGGTGATCGGTTTGGGGGCCGCCGCCCGGCAGGCCAACTGCCATGGGACCGAGCACCTGAGCCTCTCTGACAATCTCTCCAGCGTGCTGTCTTTCGAGAAGGGCCGTGCCAGCAACCGAGAGCTCCTCGCCCAATGTCGTCGTGCTGGCGCCCTGCAGCTGGGCGCCGAGATCACTTGGCGAGTGCGACACGTTCCAGGATGTGTGAGCGTTGTCGACTGGGGGAGCCGGGCCGCCGACCGCCGCGAGCTCCTGCCTGGCTGGATCCGCGGTGCCGGCTTCAGGGCCTGCGCGCCGGCGCCCAGCAGGTGCGCGCCCGTCGTGAGGCCCAGCGGCAGCTTGCCCGGCCCCGGGCCCGACGTGCCCGGGCCCTGCCCCGTCTCCAGCGTCGCCTTCGCGACTCGGCCTACCTCGAGCCGCGTCTCCGAGCCGCCAGGGCTTGGGGAGAAACCTATCGGTTGCACTGGACAGTGGAGCGAGGACCTCGCACAAGGGATCATCCTCTCTACCACCCCAGCTGAGTCGGTGCTCCCATCCTGTCCTTCCCATCCTCCATCGTGCTCTACTTCGTCGACACCATTTACAGGTTATCGTTCGCAGATCGGGCCATCGAGCTCTACGTCAAGTCACTGGCCTCATATAGGGACTCCAACGGCATCGGCTCATCCTCGACCCCTGGCTGGGCCCCCCGCTTCCTCGGCTTCTGGGGCGTCGTGGGCCAGGCCATCGGCAACAACGCCAAGCCAAGGTCCCCAAACTGGGTCATCAAGTTCTTCAGCTCCTCCTCGGGCTTGCAGCGGGCCTCGCAAGTGGTGCTCCTCGGGGTCTTCGTCTACGGCCCCGCAAGGCCACCGTACTGGGCGTACCAGCTTCCTGGAATTATTCGCCGGAGGCGCGAACCTATCGGGGGCCTTCCACGAGGCCGGTCTTCGCATCGCATGCCCTCTGG